CTGATTATATCATATTCAAGTAAAACCCACACCAAAGATTCTCTGACACATGTAATGGCTATTGTGCTCGGTAGCTGGGGGTAAAAGGTGAACCAATCAATAAAACAGGCAGGCTAAAGTTGGTTACTTTCATAGCCAAACCACAATCCTCATTTTTCCTCTTTTCACTTTTATAACTTTCCAGGTATTTTCCATCTCAAGTTCTCCTTGATCCCAAGTGTATGTTCTCATCAGCATAAAAAAACATGCATTAGATGCTTTTCATCATGCTGCAAAGGCTGTACTGAGAATCAGCTACATGCAGGATGCAGTGGTAAGCACCAGGGACATAAAGATAAGGTAGTGGGAAAAGCAGTGAGCCCTCAGTCTGGGGACTTGGGTTCTCTAGCCACTAATTCAGGGTGCAGTTTGGGGCAGGTCACTTTCTTTCTCTGGTTCTCAATTTCCCTGTCTCTAAAATGAGGGGGGTTGGACTAGATGGCCTTTTAAAATCCCTTCAGTCTCTTACATTCTGTGACCCTAGGTATATAAGATCTGATCCCTACCTTTGAGCATCTTGGCAGTCTTACTGAAGAGTAAGGTTAGTCATAAAGAGACCATTAATACAAAATAACAGGTGATAAGTGCTAGATGAGTAATACAGACAATAAGAGCTTAGGAATTCAGAGGAGAAAGAAGTCATTGTGGGCTAAGGTGGTAAGGGTAGGCTTGATTGGGAGGGTCTAGGGAAAAGGGTTAAACTGGGCCTAGAAGGAGAGAGAGAATACTCTACATATGAGGAAAGGTATGAGCAAGACCATGGATGCAGATATATGCATCTGAGAAGTTAGAGACCTTCAAAATCAATCCAAATAGCATTTTCTAAGCCATTGCTATATGCAAGACGTGCTGCATTGAGGATATAAAGATTTTTTAAAAATAACATCTCAGAACTCAAAAGAGCTTGAAGCCTAATTGGAGAGTTAAAATAGTTACACACAAATACAAGATAAAGTAAAATGTGATACAGGTGAAGAAGTGAGATATCTGAGGGTTTGACCTCAGTTTCAAGAAAAGTTCCATGAAGATGACAGCATCTGCCCTGGGTCTCAAGAGAAGAGAATTTCAATAGGTTGGGCATACAAGTACATTCCAAGTAGTACCATGCATGAAAACACAGAGGTGGCAAAAAGGGAAACTGATGATATTTCAGCTAGGTTACAACATGGAGAAAGAACATGAAGACATATGAAGCTAGAAAGGCAGTTCAGAACCATTATGTGACTGGCCTCATGCCAGGCTATTTTTCTCCTGTAGAAAAGGAGCTACTGTATGGATATGACACAGCCATACCAGCACCAGAAATGCAATTCTTGTAGCTGTGGAAAGGATGAATGAAGAAGGGAGAGACCAGAGACTGTAAAGCCCTTTAGGAGGCCTTCAATAAATTCTTGTTAAACTAAACATAACTGAAATGAGGCCTTTAGAATAGTCCAGTCCAGAGGTGATGAAGGCCAGAACAAAGATGATGATAGTGGGAATGGGGAGCATATGAGATACAAGGAAGCAGAACTGAGAGACCCTCACAGACCTTTCGGTGTGAGACAAGAGAGGCAGGGAAAAGGTTCAAGTTTGTGTGGCTGGGAGGATGGTATGGGAGGAGCAGGTTTTAGGTGAAAGCTGGTAAATTCCATTATGGAAATGGTACATTTGAGTTGCTGTTGAGCCATCCAGATGGAGACATCCAGCAGAGAGCTGGAAAGTACAGGAGAGATGTTGGAGTAATAGATAGATCTGAGAATTAAGAAGATAAACGAAACCATGGGAGAGGATGATTATCAACAGCATCTCACATTTATATATAGTTTTAAATTTTATAAAACCCTTCCTTTCCACAACCCTGTGAGGTAGGTAACGCAAATATTGATTTACCTATTTTAAAGGAAAGAAAACAGGACTCGGAGGAGTGAAATGGTTTGCTCATCAACAGATAGCTAGGAAGCATTGGTGCCAAGACCACAACACAGGTCTTTTGACTCCACACACAGCACATTTTCCATTATACTAAACTACCTACCAAAAGGAGTGAGAGACAGAGTCTTGGGGGGCACCTACCCTGGGGGGGGGGAGGGAGAAAGAGAAAGAAGACAAATTAAATGAAGGAGATCAGGTGTAGACAGAAAGTATCTGGAAGAAAAGAGTGATCAACAGTGTCAAATGCTGTATAAAGATAATAAAAAATTAGAAGATCAAACTTCTTTTCCTTTGATAGCTGTCTTCAAGTATTTGGAAGGCTGTCATGAAAGACTGTCATGTAGATGAGGCTTGTTCTTTGATTTTGAGAGCAAACCTGGAAGTTTTACAGAGGCAGACTTTGGCTTGAAATGTGGAAAAACCAAAATGTTTAGAGGTAGAATGGGGAATAGGCTGCCTAGCTAACTAGTCATTTGTTGGGAATGTCCCAAAGAGAATATCTGAAGGGTTATTCTAGGTGTACTCAACCAGGTGTACTCCGAGGTCCTTTCTGAGATTCTGTGAGACCTAGGTGTCTGTAAGGGTCATTTATGAGATGACTCTGTCCTTACCTGCAGGAGTGCACATGATTGCCTGGGAGTATTAAGGTGAATCTGCGCATGTCACTAAAATGAGCAGCCGTGGCAAGTTGGCTGATACTTAGGTCAGCTGAGTTGCTCACGTGCAACGGCTCATGACATGATTAATAAGCACGAATCCTCTTTGCTTTCGGGGCAGGACATGATTGGCTTACTGCGGGAAGGGCTCGTGAAAAAGGTGGACGGGGAGAGGATAAGAAGGAGGTACCCGGAGGCAGAAAAGAGAGAGCGTTAGAGCCGCAGAGCCGCGCTAGTAGTCAGAGGTGTAACAATAAAAGAGTATACTCTGAAAGTATCTTGGGGTGTTCTGTGGAGTCATTTCTCCAGTGCAGCTGGAGCCGGAGACGACCGAAGCCTGTTGAGGAGGTAAGTTCCTAACCCAGATAAACACGGAGCATATCAAGCCCAGATAAGCACAGACTATAACAGGTGTCATTTAAGACAAATGGCCCAAGTAAACTAACACTTTGGACCACAGGGGTTTGGATAGCTTGTCTGAATGGGAAATTGAACCAGACTGGGAAAGATGGGAGAGATCACAGTGGAAAGTGGCCGGGAATCCCCTACACTTGGAGTTTTGGGGCTGGGGAAAGGGTGAATAGTTTCTGCTTGGGAAGGGAATAAAATGGGAAAGAAGGCTAGAGGAAACTTGATTGACAGAGGGGTCCTAAGGCCACAACTGGAAGAAGTTGTGGTCCTCGACTCCTAGTAGCTCCCAGGAATTGGTCTCCAGCATCTCCAGCTAAATCCCTTAACTTCTGCTCTCCAAAAAGCAACAGTCCTCTTGGAGTCTTCCTTCTCACCTTGCCCTTTGCTTTCCATGGTGACCCTTTCCTTTCTGCCTCAGTATATATCCCTCTGCTAACTGAGGCATGAAACTCCCAGGAGTTTTAGAAGAGAAAATTTTTCATTACTTCATAGAATTTAGAACTGTAAGGTCCTATGAGCTCATTTAGTCCAACTCCCACATTTTACAAAGGTGAAAACTAAGGCACAGAGAAGAGAAAGGTTTTTTTAAGGATATTTTTTCTAAGGACATCTGTTGTTTAGTCATGTCTAACTCTTCATGACCCCATGGACCATAGCATGCAAGACCCTTCTATCTTCCACTATCTCAAAGTCTGTCCAAGTTTCTGTTCATTGTTTCTATGACACTCTAGCCATCTTATCTTCTGCCATCTAAGGTCATATAGACAGCAAGTAGCAGAGCTAGAATTCAAATTAACCTCTTCAAACCCCCAAAACAGTTACTTCCACATCAGATATGAGGCTTAAAGTGCAAATACAGAGGAGACAGTTGAATAAAACCCACATTAGAAAGTATAAATGACAATAACCTTTTCTGTTTGCTAGGGGAAGGAGATTAGAAAGCTTTAGATCCCTGGGTACTGCGGGTAAACAGGAGGTAGGATGAGACCATCAGTTACCAAAGGAAGGGAACCAGGAGACAAATTTCACTTATTTCATAATTCTGCTTACAGCCAGAAGGATATCATCTCATGTCAAGTTCAGGAAGATCACAGCAGCCTCTGATGCTGTGCTGTCCAAAAGTATGGGTGGAAAAGGGAAGAGGAGATGAGCTAGGCTAAGGTATTCACAACTGCAGCAATCTTCCCTCAGAGTCATGCCAATCAAAATAGCCAGAAAATCTCTCCTATGCCCAAGCCCTAAATACATGCCCAAAAGAGAAATCACTCAAGAACTCAGAAGACAAAGGGCCTAATGGGAAAACATACCCTATGAATAGGGTCTCTTGGTTCCTTCAGTCCACAATGCTTGATATTTCTTTACAGAAAGAGTGAGTCAGCCGTTCCACTGACAATGATTCCTACTAATATAACTGAAATTATTTAACAATAGATAAAAATACTATCTTAACAAATGCTATTTTCAACGAAGAATTTTCTTTAGCAATTGCCCCCAAAGTCCTGGCAAATGGCCAAGAGTTAACAGTGCTTTATGGACAGATTTTCAATAAATTCTAATAGCCACAGGCCTTGACCCCAGGGATCTTACAATACCACACAGGTTCACCAACTCTGACTGAAGCCATCCCCATTTGTTATTATTCACTGGATGACTCTCTTATGTGAACACTCTTGATACTGAAATAAAGGTTGAGCTAGTAACCAATATTTTCCAACATTCCTTATACTCTCCAGTGTGAATTCTGAATAATCTCTAAATAAAAACTTTTCAATATTTACTACATTTATGGCTTTGTCTCTAGGGTGAATTCTTTTGTGTGAGTCCTCTGATGCCGAATAAGCCGAGAGCTCTGACTAAAGGCTTTTCCACATTCCTGACATTCAAAAGGTTTCTCTCCAGTGTGAATTATCTGATGCTTAATAAGGTTGGCTCTCTGACTGAATGCATTACCACAATCTTTACATTTATAGGGTTTCTCACCAGTGTGAATTATCTGATGTTTGATAAGGTTGGCTCTCTGACTAAAGGCTTTACTACATTCTTTACAATTATAGGGCTTCTCACCAGTGTGAATTCTCTGGTGTTGGATTAGGTGTGAGCTCCGACTAAAGGCTCTACCACATTCATTACATTCATAAGGTTTCTCTCCAGTGTGAATTCTCTGGTGTTGAATAAGATGTGAGCTCCGACTGAAAGCTTTCCCACATTCATCACACCCATAGAGATTTTCTCTAGTATGAATGCTCTGATGTTGATTAAGTCTTGAGCTCCAACTGAAGCCTTTCCCACATTCATTACATGTATAAGGTTTCTCACCTGTATGAATTCGTTGATGTCGAATAAGAGTTGAACTTTGACTAAAGGCTTTCCAACATTCAGTACATTTATAGGGTTTCTCTCCAGTGTGAGTCCTCTGATGTCGAATAAGTTGTGAGCTCCGACTGAAACCTTTCCCACAAACATCACATCTATAGGGTTTCTCACCAGTATGAATTCTCTGATGTAGAACAAGGTCAGAATTATACTTGAAGCTTTTGGCACAAGCATAACATTTATGGGCTCTTTCTCCTATAACATCTCTCTGATGTGGGATATGGTTTGGAGTTAGGCCAGAGTTTCTCGCAAATTCTTTGTATTCCTGGGCTCTCTCTCCATTAGCCGTTTTCTTGCGGATCATATTTACTGGTCTGAACTGCTTTTTTTGGGAAAGGGATTCCCTCAGAATCATCCTAGCAGAGTTTCCCTGATGATTTCCTAACCTGTCAGATCCACAAATCTCTCCAAAATTATGTTTCTGAGGAACATCCATTAAGAATAATTCTGCCATCCTTCCACGCAATAGACTGTGCAATTGTACATCTTCTGAAGCTTCCTCTTTTCCATATGACCACATATTCTCAGTTTCTCTTTCATAGTCTGAAAGAATAAGAAAATGTCACCTATCTCTTATACTGAGAGAAAGAAACTGCTGGTGTAGGAAAAGGATCATTAAAAAAAAAAAAGAAAAATAGTCCACATTTACATAGTATTTTGCAGTAAACATCACTGACATTAGTGTCTAAGATATGGCTTTGATAGATCTCAAAACTGCTTTAGAACCTAGAGAAAGAATGGAAGGGACAGTAGTAGTTTGAATTGGACCAAGGGAATGAGGTATAAGGAGAGGCCCCCACAGAAAGGAGTAGTCAGAGAAGGAAGGGTAGAAGACTATCATGGGAATAAGCTGCTGGCAGAATGTAGATGTGCACAGGAAGTTCATAAGGTGACGAAAAGGGAATAAGGGAGATATATTTAGGGCTGGCAAGAGTTTCAAGGAGTGTGGAAAAGGAGGTCAGGGCAAATGATATAAAGAAGGCTCAGAGATGACAGGTATAATGAAGAGGGCTATCTACCTGATAGGAGCTCTGAGTGAGGAACTGTGAAGTTGTTGCTGCCACAAGCTAGCTGACCTTGATGTCACTGACTTACCTCCCCAGTAGCCCATCACCCTGTACCTGGTCCTTCAGGCCATCACTCTAATTATTGATCGCTCTCTCCTCCCCTCTGTGACCCCAACCTTTAGTTCCGTGTTTTCTTAGGCTCTTTTCTTTCACGCTTCCACAGAACACACACCACACCATTAGAGAATCCAAACTAAGTACATCATGCCCTGCTGGTAACCTCCTCCCCCAACCCATTTTTCAGCATATTTTTATGTGTTATCCCTACCCCCCACCCCCCAATTTGGTCATTGAGTTCCTCAAAGGCAGGAAATATCATGCCTTTCTTTCTTTGTTCAGCTTAGCATAATGCCTGGCATATGACAGGTACTTAAAAATGTTTACTGATTCTGACTGCCAAAATAGTCACTGTCATTCCCCTGCTTAAAATTTTTACTGGATCCTTATTACCTCTAAAATAAAGTGTTTATCCCAGCGTGCACCACCCTCCGTGATATGAGTCCAGTCTTTCCAGCTTTCTTTCCCATTACTCCCCTTTATATTATCTGCCTTCTGGCCAATTTGGAAGATAACTATGTCTATGATGATATGATAACTACAACAACTAATAATAATAGTAATAATAATAATTATTATTATTATAGCACCTAGCATTTAGATAGTACTTTAAAGTTTGTGAAGCACTTAACATGGGTTTTCTCACATGATCCTTACAACAACTCTGTGAAACAGGTGCTATTATCATCCCTATTTTACCAATGAGGAAACTGAGATTGAAAATGATTAAGTGGTTTGCCCAGGATTGCCTAGCTCAGGAAGTGTTTGAGGCAGCTTTTGGACTCAGGTCTCAGACTCCTAGCAATTCCTTGAACTCTTGTTCTATCTCCCCACTCCAGGCATTTTCTACTCTTCTCTTTTCCTTTTTTTTTTAGGGGGTGGGGCTAGGCAATTGGGTTAAGTGACTTGCCCAAGGTCACACAGCTAGTGTCAGGTGTCTGAGGCCGGATTTGAACTCAGGTCCTCCTGACTCCAGGGTTTGGTGCTCTATCCATTGTGCCACCTAGCTGCCCCCGCTCCAGGCATTTTCACGGCTGTCTCCTGTGCCTGGAACTCAGTGATGCTTAATAAACATTTGTTAACTTGACTTATGCTTTCCTCATAAAAACTCCATTAGGCAGGCAGCCATTTTATAGATAAAGAAACAAAGTCTAAGGAGTTGATTTGCCCACAGATACGAGGCTAGTAAACATGTGAGGCAGGATTCAAACCCAGGCCTCCTAATTCTAAATTTAGCACTCTATCTACTATGTCTCTCAGCAGACTGAAAGTCCTCTATAGACAAAGACTGTCATTCATTGTAGCAGGGATTTAAAAAAAATGTTGAATTAAAACTGAATTAAATTACTAAACTTGTATGTTTTTTTCTGAACCTAGATTTAGTAATTAATCACCAGCATAATTTGGTAGCCTAGAAAGCTAACGAAATCTTATGGTGCTCTCAGTGAGCCACAGCATTCAAAGCTAGAGAATCTCCATGGCACTCTGCCCTGGCATGCCACGTCAGGAATACTGGGGCCAGTTCTGGGTACAACATTTTAGGAAGGACATTTGTAAGCTAGAGAGATTAGAGAATATGTTACCAGGATGATGAAGAACCTCAAGTTCATGACATTTGAGATTAATTGAAGGAGCTAAAGAGAAGAATTACTGGGGAAAAGAGAGATGTATTCAGGTATATGAAGGGTAAAGTGGAAAAGGCATTAGACTTATTTGTTTGGTCCCAAAGAGCAGAATAGGAATAATGGGAAGAAGTTACAAAGAGGCAGTTTGATGTAAGGGAAAATTTCCTAATGATTAGAAGCATCCAAAAGTGAAATGGGCTTCCTCTGGAGGTAGTAACTTCCCAAAGGCTGGAGGACCACTTGTTAGGTATACTGGAAAGAAAGTTGTTTTTCAGGGATGGGTTGAATGAGGTGATCACTGAGCTCTCTAACTGTGATTCCTCTTGGTTCCCTTTCATCTCTAATAACAGTCTCCTCAATGCTTCTGGACCCACTCTCTGGGGCAAAGCAGAATAGCTCTAAGCCCTATTCCTTCCTGACAGTCCTTCCAATACATGAAGATAGCAATTATCTCTCTCCCCCTCCCCACCCATACCCTAGACTTCCTCTCTGTTGTCTAGTCTGGGAAGTCTTCATCTTTTATCTGATTATTTTGAGTTCTGTTCAGTAGAACTGGTACTCCATTCAAAACCTATCCCGGTCCAGCTGCACCCAAAGCCAAAAGCAAAATCATAATTGCTCTATATTGCCAGAGTGGCTTTTTGCTCTCTCATGGATCAGTAGAGATCCCTGGTCTATGCTTTGAAGCTTACTCTAGGAGGTGTTGTGTGTTCTCACTTTTCTCATAGTCTTTGCCTTCCATTTTCTCTTGAACTAACACTCAGAACCACCTCCATCTGCTCCTCCCTACACCAAAATATTCTAGAAGATGTAGGTAACTAATGTTCCCTTCGGGACCTTACACAGTATACTTTCTTCTGTACCTGTCTCATGTGCTTGTATAAAACTATTATGTTTATTTGGGTTTGGGTTTTATTCCCACATTGGGGCAGATTGTTGTCTTATACCTAAATTCTATATCTCCCCTGCTGAGAGACAGTGAAAGAATGATGACTTTGATTTGATAAATACTCCCTGACAGACTGATGGATTTGGTTTCCAGTACCTAGTTTTCTCCCTCATTCACCTGTACAGGAGGTTCTCAGGGTCTCCTCTCTATCCTCAGATCCTTGCAGATCCAAGGCCCATAGCTCTTCTCCTTGCTCCAGCTGGTGAATCAGGTCAGGTTTGGAAACTGGAAATCCTGCTCATGAAAAGAGAAACAAAATGGGAAGTATCCATGCATCACAGGGAAAACGGGCCTGTTTTGGGCTTGGTCCTAGGCCCTGTAGATATAGAGAGAGGAGATGGAGACATATCCAGAGTCTAAGTCAGGAAGACCCAGAGGGGCAAGAAGAGGCCTGAAAGGAGCACATTCCTAGAAGGGTGCATGTTTTGGGGTGGGAGAGGGAAGAAGGGTTACTCCAATGGTACCCAAAAAGGAAGAAATACCCTCTTCAGAGTAATAAAAAGTCACCAGCTGCTGAAGCCAACCATACCACTCTTGGGAAGCTTTGTTAGAAAGGTTTTCCTTCCCTCGGGCCTAAATGGGCCTCTTTGCAATTTCAACCCATCACTCCTAGTTCTTCCCTCTGAGGGCACATCCATACCACATCACACATCATCAAACATATGACATGTATCTACCCAGTAATGCCCTTGTCAGGATAAATCAATCCTCTCTTCATTACTCTGGCTGCCTTTCTCTGGATGTTCTCCAGCTTATCAATGTCCTGCCTAAAATGTGTTGCCTAAAGCTGGATGTGGTTTTCCAGATGTAAATGAGCAAAGTAGATTATGGTGGGATTATCACATTATTTATGGACCCTACACCTCGGAATGCAGACTGAGATTTCATTTTGCTTCTTGGCTGCTCTATTACATTGTTTTATTTCTAAATTTATTCTGAATTTAAACATCAAATAAAATGAGTATTTTCATATACATATTAGAACAGAAAAAGAGGACTATCCATGAAATTGCAGATCTCTACTATGTACAGCTTGCTTTTTAAAAAAGGATATATAAGTTCAACAAGCTGCCCTATTTGTCTGTTTCTTTCTGACTTTCCTTCTGTTCTCTACATTTTTAAAAAAGATGCCTCAATGACCCACTTTTCTTTTTCTTCTTTTCCTTTTGGCTACCTTATCCCTACTTCCCCTTCTCTACCTACTCCCCACAATGGGAAAAAAAAAAAGAAAAAATCTTTGTAACAAATGTGTAAAGTCAAGCAAAGCAAACTCACATTGATTGTGGCCAAAAGTGTATGCCTTATTCTGCATCTTGAGTCTATCACCTCTCTGTTAAGAGGGAGGTAGCAGCTTCATCGTCAGTCCTTTGCAACTGCAGTTGATCGCTGCATTGATCAGAGCTCTCAAGTTTTCAAAGTTGTTTTATCTTTACAATGTTGTTGTTATTGTATGTATTGTTCTGGTTCTACTCAATTCACTCTGCATCTACTCATACAGGCCTCAGATTCTTTCTGAAAATATTCATTTTGTCATTTCTTAATGGCACAATAATTTTCCATTACTTTCATATAACATAATTTGTTTGCCATTCCCCAGTAGACAGGCACCCATTTAGTTTCCGTTTCTCTGCTACCACAAAAAAAGAGCTGTTAATATTTTTGTATGTGTGTCCTTTTCCTCTATGATGTCTTTGGCATACAGGCCCACTAGTGATATAGCTGGGTTATAGGCTATACCCAGTTTAGGACTTTTGGGGCATAGTTCCAAGTTGCTTTCAAAAAGGCTAACCCAATTCACAGGTCCCCTAACAGTTCATCAGTATGTTGTTTTACTGCAGTCCTTCCAACAATTGCCATTTTCCTTTTTTGTTATCTTTGTCAATATGATGGGTGTGAGGTGAAACCTCAAAGTTGTTTTAATTCACATTTCCTTAATCATTATTGATTTAGAACATCTTAATGGATATTGACAGCTTGGATTTCTTCCTCTGAAAACTACCATTTATACCCTTTGACTATCTGTTGGGGCTATGGCTCTTGTTCTTATAAATTTGGCTCAGTTCCCTATATATATCTGGAAAATGAGACCTTTATCAGAGAAATTTCCTGTAAAGATTTTTCCCCGCTATTTTTTTCTTCTAATTTAACTGTATTGGCTTTCTTTGGAGAAAAACTTAAAATTTTATATAATCTCAATTGTCCATTTTATCTTCTGAGATATATAAGATCTGTGATTCTCTTTATTTCTTCTTTATGAACTCTTCCCTTATCCACAGAGCTGAAAGGCTAATTTCTTCCTTGCTCCTCTATTTTGCTTATGATATTACCTGTTATGTCTCAGTCATATATCCATTTGGAATTTATTTCACCATTGTGAGATATTGGTCTACGCATAATTTCTGGCAGACTATTTTCCAGTTTTTCTGGCAGTATCTGTTGAAAAGCTACCTCAATAGCTGGTTCTTTTATGTTTAAAGAGCCCTGTGTTACTTTGTTTATTTATCTATGTATATATCATACCCAATCTGTTCTACTGATTGACCGTCTTTATTTTTAAACTAGTATCAATTTGTTTTGATAATGTTTTGTAGTATAATTTGAGATATGGTACTACTAGACTCTCTTCTTTCCCATTTTTTTCATTATTTCTCTTGAGATTCTTGACCTTTTTGTTTCTCTAGATGAATTGTGCCCACCCCACCCCACCCCTAACTCTATAAAATAATCTTTTGGTAGTTCAAATAGCATGACGCTGAATAAGTAAACTAATTTGGATAGTACTGTCATTTTTATTTTATTAGCACAGCCTTCTCATGAACAATTAATATTTCTCCAGTTATTTAGGTCTGTCTTTGTTTCTATAAGGTGTTTTATAGTTACATTCATTATAGTTCACGTGTGTCTTGGTAAAAAAAAATTCCCAAGTATTTTATACATTCTATAGTTATTTAGAATAGAATTGCTCTGTCTCTTCCTGGGGTTTGTGGGTTTTGTTGGTAATATAGAGAAATGCTGACTTCTATGAATTTTTTTATATCCTGAAAATTTGCTGAATTATTTCAATTAATTTTTAGTTGACTCTTCAGGGTTCTCTACAAGGACCATCATATTCTCTGAAAAAAAAAAGCAATAGTTTGATTTCTTCTTTGCCTGTGCTTATTCCATCAATTTCTTCTTCTTGTTCTATTCTAATAGCAAGCACATCTAGTACTATATTAAATGGTATTGGTGATAATGGACATTCTTGCTTTACTCCTGATCTCATTGGAAAGGCCCTTGATTTCAATTTTATATAGATATTATTTAATATACTTAGGAAATGTCCATTTATTACTATGATTTCTAGCATTTTTAACAGAAATGAATGTTAATTTTATCAAAATCTTTTTAGTATCTACTCATATAAACATAATTTTTACTATTTATATTATTACCATGATTTATTCTGTTTATATTTATTCTTATATTGAACTAACCTTGTATTCCTAGTATAAATCCAACCTGTCATAGTGTATAATAATTAATAGCACCTACTATGTGCCAAGCACATGCTAAGCATTTTACAAATATTTGATATTCACAACAACCCTGGGAGGTAGGTGCTATTCTTAACCCCATTTTACAACAGAAGAAAGTGAAGCAAATAGAGGTAAAGTGACCTGCCCAAGGTCACATAACTAGTTAAATGTCTGAGGCTACATTTGAACTTAAGTCTTCCTGATGAGGCCCACGTCTCTATCCACTTTGCCATCTAGCGGTATAATCTTTCAAATATGCTGTAGTCTATTTGTTAATATTTTACTTAAAATGTTTGTGGTAATATTCATTCACTGCTTTGTCAGTACTAGGACCATAACTCTATCATAGAAGGAGATTGGAAAGGCACCTATTTTTGCACATAATTTATGTAATCTGTAGATTATTTGTTCCTGGAATCTTGGAATTCACTCATAAATCCATCTGGTCCTAGAATTTTTTCTGTTAGTTCATTTGTGGCTTCTTCAATTTCTTTTCCTGATATTGGGTTATTTAAATAATTTTTACCTTTTTCTGTTAATCTGAACATTTTGTTATTTCTTAAGCATTCATCCATTTCATTTGTTATTGGTTTTGTTAACATAACTAAGCAAAATAGTTCCTGATAGTTTCCTTTATGTCTTCTTCAGTTGCTTTGAATTCTTTTTTTTATTTTTAATACAATTGATTTTCCTCTCTTTTTACTTAATCAGACTATTTTGTTAGTTCCCCCCCAAAAAAAATCAGCTCCTCATTTTATTTAGCAAGTCAATGGAGTTTTTTTGTTTCAATTTTGTCAAGCCATTAAATTTTTTTTTTCAGAATTTCTACTTTAGTAGTTAGTTGGGGAAAATAATTTGTTGTTTTTTCAGATTTTTTTAATTAAATGCCCAGTTCATTAATTCATTCTATCCTCTGTTGATGACATGTAGAAATATAAATTTCCCCTAAGGACTGTTTTCGCTTTTTGATATATTGTCTTCGATGAAATTGCCATATCACTTGTTGATTAATATTAATCTTGCTGTCAACTAAAACACCAAGATTTTTCCCGAAGAATTGCTTTCTAGCTATATCTCTCCCATCTTATATTTGTGAAGCTGATTTTTTTTTTGGACCTAAATGTAAGACTTTACATTTATCCCCATTCAATTCAGCTCAACATTTTAGCCTATTGAGATCTTTTAGAATCTTATACTGCTACTCTGTTTAAAGTCCTGAGATTCAGCATATTAGCTAAGGCTCTCAGCTTTGCGTCTTTTACCTCTGATCCCTCTTTCTCTATGAGAAAATCTTAAATCTTGACAAGACCGATCAAGTGCCCTTTAAGTCTCCCTTTTCTGGGCTAAATATCCTCAGTCCCTTCAACTGGTTCTCCTACAGAATAATCTTTATTTCCTTTACCATCCTGGCCCCTCTCTTCAGAACCCATTCCAATATATAGTAAAGTGTGTTAACCAAATAGGACATATACTCATTTGGTTTCTATCTTCTGGAAAATTCCCACCAGTTTCACCCAAATGCCACTAGACAAGACAGTGGTCTTTCAGTGATACAAAAGGACACATACTTAATAAGTGCTTTTTTAATAAATGAGCTATGGAAGGCCATCTGAAGAAAGCTCAAAAGATATGGAAAAGGGGGGTAGCTAGGTGGTGCAGTGGATAGAGCACTGGCCCTGGATTCAGGAGGACCTGAGTTTAAATCTGGCCTTGGACACATAGCATGTTAGCTGTGTGACTCTGGGCAAGTCACTTAACCCCACTGCCTAGCCAAAAAAATGAAAAAAAAAAAAGATATGGAAAAGGTGGCCTATGGGATAACTCAAAGAGCTGCCTATTTTCACATACTATATAGACAATAAATTGTCTGAGAACAAAAAACAAGAATATCTTGTTTTGGGGTCCTGAATCATAGAGGTTGCACAGCTTACTGCCACATAAGAAAGCCATGAGGTACCAGAAAGCTAAATCTATAAAGTCCTTACCCAGCCAGACCATGTTCCCATAATTCTCCAGCATCACATCCCTGTAGAGAGCCTTCTGACTGGGGTCCAGATGTGTCCATTCCTTCCTTGTGAAATGCAGAGCCACATCCTCGAATGTCACTGCTTCCTGAAACAGCACATTCATGTTTTAGGAATGATAAACTCTTTCCTTGTTCCATCTCTGCCTCCTACACAAGACATCTCTGCTGACTCAGGAATGAATCTCCCTCAGCCCCCACTCATGGGAGTAGAGGCAGCAGGATAAGGAAGAGAAGGAAATGGACTTAGAAGCAGAGAAGTGGCATAAGGCTTTTTGTGGAAGGCTCATCCACAAGTCTCAAAAAATACCTAATGGAGGTAAAAAATATCCAGAGATAAAGAGAAGGCCAACAGCCAATATCAAAGCAATGGGAGGATCGTCTGTGGGGCTGCTAGGAGAGCTCAGATCAATCAATCAATAAGTATGTGCCAACCACATAAAAATAATTGGGTATCTCCAGTCTGGAACCTGAAGGTTTAGAAGAGATATGGCCAATTTATAAGTTAGAGACAAATGAATATCAATGTATTTAGCAAATTTTGGACATGAGAACTAAAGTATAACCATTGAAGCTTAAAAGGGATAAATTTAGGACAAAGAAAAAGGATTGCTACTTTATTACCCCATAAGGTAGAAACAGGCTTAGTCCAAAAAAGGTCCAAAATCAAAACCGATAAGGGGAAAAGGCCTATCTGTACAAAATAACTTAAAGCAACACCATACAACAGTGAAACACAGAAAACGTCACATGCCCAGCAATTGGGGAATGGCTCAGTAGTGGCATATATGTGTAGTGGAATTATCACTGAAGTACAAAGAATGGCCAATGTGATGAATATGAAAGAAATATTGAAAGATGTGTATAAATTAACGCACACAGAAAGAATGAGAACCGAAAGAACAATACACACTCATTACAGGTTTATAAATTAAGACAATATTAAATGACAAAACTCATGGCAAATACAGGGAGCAACATCGATATGACCCTGCTAAAGTTACTGCACACGTAATTCAACTCGTTTTAACAACTGGAAGATAAATAATAGAAGGCTAGGACTCTACATATAATCATTTACAACTTCATTTTGGTGTTGTTTTTACAGCTTTCTGGGAGTGAGATGTATTCTGCTTTTTGCTTTATTTGGGTTTTGAAAAAAATTCTTATGATTTTGCTTTTGATCATTGTTCATATATTTGTACTGTTCATACAATTTTGGCTTTGATTACTGTTAGTACTTTTTATATTCATACTTTACTTTTAAGTTCATACTGCTTATTCATTACTATGTATCAATGGACATTAATAATACAAAATATATCCATAAATATTTTTTTAAATCGAAGTTAACTATTTGAGGTTTTTAGGCAAACTGGAAAAGTGTGGATTGAGTATTTCTCATTTACAGTGTAACCTTAGCCACATGGTTTCAAATCCCACTTCTGCCACTTACCACCTGCATGTCATTAGCAAGTCACTTAACCTCCCTGGGCCTCAATTTCATCGTTTGTAAAATAAAGAGGCTGGGCCAGATGGCCTCCAAGGGCCCTTCCACCTGTACATCTATGAACCCATTATCCCATAGTGCACCCCGGAGTGTTTATGGGAAACTGGTGGGACCTAAATAGAGCAAGAACATGGGATTCACTTTCTGCGGCGATTCTTATATTGCTTTTGTCCCAGGAGTATCCTAAGACCCTTTTTGTGTGATGCCTATGTGTGGATGCAGTGCACCCATGACTGTTTGGCAGTGCAGGGGCCCCCAGCATGATTAAGGTGACCCTTGCTAGGAGACTGGGGATGTAGTAGGAGAGCCTCACTAAACATGAGTGGTCCCACTTCTAGTCTCCAAACCAGTATCCTTCTCATTTTTTTTAAACTTTGAGCTTACCATCAAGCTACCCAAACAAAACTTTGAAGTCTAAGTAGCTCTGGTACAGCGTTGTATTATACAGATGGCTTGTATAAGCTTCCCTATGTACTCCCACAGTGTGTTAACAACAACTTGGCACTGTAAATAGCAGACATTTAATAAGTATTTGTTGAGTGAGTATTGATTGAAACATTATAAATTCAATCTTTTACCCTCAGATGGAATGATTTTAAAAGTTCCAGGTGGAAGGTGAGCATGGCAGGGGAAACAGTGGATATCTGGGAAGCAAGATAGAAGGACAGCAAGCACAAATGTCCCTCTTCAAACCCTGCTTAGTTTAACCCATAACTCTCCCCCACTACTTCTCCACCTCCACCCCACTAGCCTTCCCCTGCTCACACTGCCTCCAACCCTAAAACTACCTCCTCCAAATGACGCGTTCCCCCCAAAACCTCCTTTTGAGGAAGTACCTATTCCAGTCATAATCACTGCTAACCCAGCTCAGTCCATAACCCTCTGGACTGCTTTTCCACCTTGCCCTGCTTGGATATCTTAACTTGCTTTTCGATTCCTTTTTTGTGTTATCTTCCCTCATTAGGATGTAAGCTCTTTGAGGACAGGGACAATCCTCCTTTTTCTTGTATTTGTATTCCCAGTTTATTTAGTTTATTTAGTGCAATGCGATTACTCAGACTATAGCAAATACTTAATAAATGCTCTAGCTATCTAGCTATCTTTAAAATTTTCCTATAGTTGGCCCAAGGCAATTTATCAGTAGAGAAAGCCCTGCTATGGAAGGCTAAGTGTAAGTTCTCTCAGAATTTACTAACTTTTATCTCTCCTTGGCAAATGCAGGCAGCTTCCCAGGAAAGGCCCAGGCCTCCTTGGATGGGGCAAACAAGCTATCCATGGCTACACACATGAAAGACTAACTGGGAATTATATACCTCCCACACTTAAAATCACCAAGATTCACATTATGATAGCATTCAGTGCTGATAAGGCACTTATTCCAAACAATCCAAAGAGGCAGAGATTATAAGTAATATTATTCTCATTTTACAAATAAGGGAAATGATGAAAAATTATCTGCCTAAAGTCAAAATTAATGGGAGCCATAAAGCAGAATTAAATTCAGATCTTCAAGTCTGATTACTCTTAATTTCAAAAATACCATTCTAGATTCTCTAGTGCTTTTTTTTTTCATCGGTTCACCCTAGGGAGCCCAAGCCAAAGAAGTCACTAAGTTACCTACATGTCTAGGGGGGAGGAGCCAAGGACAAGAGGAACCTGAAAGAATGGTTGTCCTACTGGCAGGACCAACAACATATGGCTGAAAACCCCAATCAAAGACCCAGAGGCTTACATAAAGTCTATATGTGTGACCCCAGGAAGAGAGGGAGAGGAAGAGCTAACAGAGAGAGGAAATTATCAAACTGCTCCCATGATAATTCTGATCCAGCAAGGGGGAGGCAAACTTTCAGAGGTAGGAGATAGGAGAGTGCCATGCTCCTATGCCCTATATAGGCTTGCCTGGGCAGAGATACTTCAGGATACGGGAAGGAGATGAAGCCACAGTCAGGAAGCAGTGATGGGAACTCAGAAAGGACAGCTCACCTGGGATTGAGCCGCCATCAATGTTAGAGGAACAGCTGCCATCACCTGTCCTCCTGGGTTCCCTCAGGGGGAAGGGCACAGGTACTTGGGGAGCTGGCAGATGCTGGAAAAAGACAAAGGAACCAAGAGTGACACCAGCCCTGCCCTGCGGTTCCCTACTCGCATCCACTGGGGCTCACCTGCAGCCACAGGATCTTAAAGGGGTCCCTAATGCAGCCCCTCTCTTTCACATCTTCCCCACCACTACATCACTACCAACCCCTTGCTCTAGCTCCCACGGGGGTAAAGGGGAATGTCTGAAGAACTACAGTGGGTTACATAAAAAAGTCCCATAGTCCCCAACACAGAAAGACTAAGAGATTCCTAGAGGTGCAAGAGAGATGGAGATACCGACAAGACATACACATCAGCCCATCTACTGCAGGGTCCCCAAGGAGAAAATCTCCTGCGAACCCTGCTTTCAGGCTAACTCACAGTTGTTCTATCTTTTCTGGAGCCCTTATGTTCATCATTTGTCCCGAAGTGAATTTCTGGCTATGACACTTCTGTTGTTACTGCTGAATCATTTCCATTGTGACCAACTCTTCATGATTCCATTTGGGGTTTTCTTAGCAAAAATACTGGAGTCGTTTGCCCTTTCCTTCTGCAGCTTATTTTACAGATGTGAAACTGAGGCAAACAGGGTTAAGTGACTTGCCCAGGGTCATACAGCTGGTAAGTGTCTGAGGCAACATGTGAACTCAGGAAGATGAGTCTTCCTGACTCTAGGCCTAGCCACCCTACCTACTTGTGCCACCTAGCTGCCCCATAATTTATAACATTTACTACCTTCATAACCTTGGGCCAATCGTTGCCCTTTGTTGGGCTTGAATTTCCTCATCTGTAAAATGAAAAGGTTATACTAGGTGCAATCTGAGAACACCTCCAAGTTTTAAAATTTACTGGTAAAAGCAAATAAAGAGATTCTAAAGCCAAGCAAAAATTACTTATGAATTGTGTACTGGTGTGGAATTATTCTATGTATAAAGATATAGAATCCTAATTTGTTACTAGATAGCTACATACATATCTAATAGCATCTATAATTTTTTAAATCTAGATTTGTAATTTCAATAGTATTGGGGATTTCCTGGTATGGAAACACCTTCCACCAATGCCAATCTACAATTCCACTGAAACTTACAGTGTTAAAGCCTGGGGCACTTGGAGATTCCCTGATTTGCCAACAGTTTCATAGATGTTCTGTGTCACAGCAGGATTTAAATGCTGCTATTCCTGACTCCAAGGCCATCTTTATATCCACTACTCCATGCAACCTCTCTATCTATTTGTATCTAGACTATTTGGCCTTACATTCTCTCTCATAATCTTTTGTCATGAATCATCAACTTGGTGAGCTCTTCCTGCATGTCTTGTAAGCATCTCAAACTAAACAGGTCCCAACCAGAACTCATCTTATCTCCTAAAGCTGTACCCCCTTCTTTTCTAATCTGTACCTCCTCTATGCTTCCCTATTTATTTATAATAATTACTATTTATATAGCACTTTAAGGTTTGCAAGGTCCCTGACAGATGTTACCTCATGGAAGCTTCACAAAAACCCTGGGAGGGAGGTGATATGATTAGCCTCTCTTAAAAAGAAAAAAAAAGGAAAACATTGTAGCAGATAGAAGTTAAGCTACTCACCTAGGGTTACACGGCTAATAAGTGCTTGAGATAGGATTTGAACCACTCAGCTGGTTTCTGTTAATGTTATCACCATTCTCCCAGTCACTTAAGTTCAGAACCTCAGAGTCACCTCTGATTTTTCCCTCTCCCTCATCCCCCATGGCCAATCATTCATCAAGTCTTATGGATTCTACCTCTAGGACATCACAAAGCCACGAATTAGGTCCACATCACCTCTCACCTGGATTAAAGCAACGATCTCCTAATTGAGCTTTCTGTTCTCAGTCTCTCCCTTCTCCAATTCCTCCTTCATACAGAGGTTAATATTCCTAAGGCACTGGCCTAATCATATCACTGCCATATTCAAAAATCTTCAGTGTGGCTCCCCATTGCCTATAGGACAAAATTTAAACTCCTTACTCTGTCATTTAAAGCTGTTTACAACTTAGTTCCCATCTGTCTTTCTAGTCTTATTTGATTTTGCTCCCCTTCCCACACACTCTTCAAGTCAATCTGAACTACTAGCCATTCCCTGAACTCACTATTCCATCCCGGTCTCTGTACTTCAGAGGCCTCTGTGGCTGGAATGCCCTCCCTCGCCCCTCCCCTCAGAATGCCCATATTTCTTCAAGGCTCAAGTAAGATGCCACCTCTTCTGTGAAGCCTTCACAGGTCCCCACCAGGTATCATTGTTGTTCCCTTATTCAATTTCCTTTTTTTTAAAAAAAAGTTTTATTGGCACCTTTTGTTTTTACATCATTCATTTCCTGATATACTTTCCACAGTAAACCCTCCCTTTTAACCAGGAAAAGTAGAACTGCAGAACTAACCAGCAGTGACTGCATTTGACAATGTAGACAATATTTTACACCCATATTTTCCCATTTCTATAACAAGAGGCCCCCTCCTCAATTTTCAATGTACAATTCTTGGTTTTGTACATGTTCTATCACCCACTGTCCAGGAAAATGTAAGCTCCCAGAAAGAACAGAATGTTTCATTAATATCCTGTCCAGAATAGTCACTTAGTATTTGCTGAAGTGAATTTTTTTAGCCTTCTGTCCACGGCAATAACTGACAGCTGACCAAAAAGCAAACTGCCCCATACAAAAAGAACATCCTTTACTCTTCTGTCAGTACAATAACACATACTTGGTCTCTGAAGGGACTCTAAGTATCAACTGGAATTAGGAGGATGAAAGGAGCAAGGTCTCAGAAAATTCTGTTTTCTGTAAATGGGAACCTTCCTCCCCATCTACACCACTACCCTAGCCATGAAGATCAGGATGGGATGAACTATTCTCTACATGTGGGGAGAAGGAAACACCCTAGGAGCCCCCTTCTCAGCCCTCTTTTCACCTTGGGTCAGGCTTGAACAAATGAAAAGTTGTCATATAGAAGAAGGAGTTCTGCCATATAATTATCATGGCCAAGCCTGGCCCCAGAGAAGAGTTGAGAAAAAACATCTTCCTCCTCTATTAGCATAAATAGGGACTATGGATATGAAATAGTCTATCTCTTGTCAAATACGGTTGATGTGTTAGTTGGTTCTGCTGACTTTTTATTCTCTTTATTTTTTAACCTTTGTTTCATATGATGGGTAGGAGAAGGAGGAGGAATATATTTGGAAATGAAGGTGATTTTAAAATAAAACACATTTTTAAATAAAGAGACCCCAGAAAGAACTAGGAGCATTTGGGTAAAAATTAGTGAGACATATCAATATAAGAAAAAAATTCATAATAATAAAAGCTGTCCCAAAATGGAATCATTGTGGGAATACCCAGAGCTCCAGCCTGGGCCCTATGCTTTTCTCTCTATATTCTAAGTGATCTCCATTTCAGGGGGTTAAACTAACAGCTCTATGCAGAAGATTATCAAACACACACACACACACACACACACACCCACCCACCCACCCACACCCACCCACACACACCCACCCACCCCTATATATCTAGCCCTAGCCTCTCTCTAAGCCCCAGTCTCATATCACCAACTGTTTTTTGAACGATTGTCACTCAGTGAATTACAGGCATCTCAAATTCAAAATGGATCAAACCAATATCATTATCTTTACCCCTCAACTCATCCCTCATCTGAATGCCTCTATTTCCATCAAGGGTACCACCATCTTTCCAGTCACATACAGTATGTTCATAATGTTATAGTAGACATTGATACCACTTGGGTGAGCAGAGAGTTGCTAACTACAATCCTGAAAAGAGGAAAGACCACCAGGTGTTGTCATATGACCTGCACCCTAAAGCACTGGGCCTTATCATTTTCTCAGCATATTCACTCTCTTAAATGTTTTATCTCCCTCACTTTAGAATGTAAATTCTTTGAAAGCAGGAACTGTCTGGGATTTCTATTTATAACCCTAGCACTTAGCACAGTGTTAGGCACTTAATAAGTACTTTTTAATTCATGCATTCCCAATTCCTCACTCTCTCCATCCCAGTTAAGTGATTCTGTAACATCTTCTCCTCTCATAAGGCCTCCAACCTAGTTCAGGCCATCACCTCTTGCCTGTATTATTACAATAGCCTCCTAAGTGTCACCTTGCCTGAAAGTCTCTCCTCTCTCCAATTCATCCTCCAAAAGCTGCCAAAATATTTCTAAAACATTGGTCTGACCATGTCACTCCCCTGCTCAATAAACTCTAGAGACTCCACATTACCTCCAGGATCAAATTCAAACTTTTCTGACATAGCCCATCACAACCTACCCAGAACTACCTTTCCAACCTTATTATACATTACTCTCCTTCATATAGTCTTTTAATCTTTTTTCCTGGGTAATTTAATAATTTTATTAATAAGAGCAGCAGGTTATTAATAAAAGGATAGTCATTTAGCTGTCTCTCTTAGAACAAAGACCCCTAATGGTGGTGGAGTCAGTTTATATGCCCTTTGAAAACAAGGTGTTTCGGAGAGGTGCACACGTCAGCTCTGATGGAAGGTGGGCTATCTTGGTGTACGCGACTTAGGTCACTCTAATCTTGGTCAAAGAGACATCGATTTCCATATCACCTGTCTTGATAATGAGAATCAATATTTTCCCAGACCTGTCTGTGCAAACACAATGAGCAGGAATATACCCATTAGCCTAAACTTAGAATATGTTTTATTAATCACACACAACCATCCATCTCCTGTGTCCTTGTCTTTGGCCAGGCTGTCCTGATGCCTGGAATATATCCCTACTCACTCTGCCTCCTAAGAGCCACTAGTTTCCTTCAAAACTCATCACATACATCACCTCCTACCCCCCTACCCTGCATTACTACCTCTCCTAATCCCTTTTACCTGCTCTTGCTTCCCCACTAAAACTACCTCGTATTGATTTTGTATTTAATTATTTCACAGAATCACAGATCCAAGAGCTGGAAAGAACCTCAGATGCCAACTAGTTCAACCCTCTCATTTTACAGATGAGAAACTGAGACCCGGAGAGGTTAAGTTACTTGCACAAGGTCACACTATTAGGTAGGGCCAGGATTTGAACCCAGGTGTGACCCCAAATCAAGAATACTTGCCATTTGTACCATACCACCTCTCACACAGATGTAGGTATGCATTTGGCTCCCCCTGTAGAATATAAGCTTCTTGAAGAAAGAGACTGTTTCAGTTTTGCTTTTGTATTCCCAGAGCCTTGCACGGTGCCTGGCACATAGCAGGCACTCAATGAAGCCTTATTGAATGGAATGGAACGAGCTGCCCAGGGAAGTATTACTTCAGTACCACTGGAGGTCTTCCAGTGCAAGCTGGATGACTAGTTTGTCCAGGAGGCTGTGGAGGTGAGTTATTAGACAAGCTGCCCTCGGAAGTCCCTTGCAGCTCTTGGAAATGGGGAACGATCATAACCTATCCCAGAGTGGAATAAGCTGCCTCGATGAGTAGTGAGCTTCCCAATCCTAGAAGTCACAAGCAGAGGCTGGATGACCGTTTTGGGGGAAGTCACCTCCCTCAAGACATTTAATCAAAATTCAATCAATAAACAAGCATTTATTAATCGTTTACTATCTGACAGGCACAGCGCTGGGGACGGAGGTCGGGGAAGCAAAGTCCAAAATTAAACAGTTCCTGCCCTCAAGGAGCTTACATTCTATCAGGGGAGACATGACGTACACGAGGCCTGGAATCACGTCTTCTATAAACTCCGAATATCCCGCATCTCCCAGCCCTGCGCTCTGCACACAGCAGTCACTTAACGAGTATTTGCAGCAGTTTGGTCGGTTGGTTGAACGAATGAAATCTCACACATCCTCCTCCTCCACCTCTTCTCAAGGGTGGGGCCTCTGGCCTGAGCCCCCAGGGTGGCCTTCTGCAAGTCCCTTCCTCTGCTGGGCCTCAGTTTACCGCCACTGTCCAATGGGGTACATGAGATGATGGCGAATCGCTAAAGAAGCCTGAAGGTCTGTGACTCTCCGACTCCTCCCGCTCCCCGGGCCCATCCCCAGCCCAGACTCACCCCCCCACTCGGAAGCAACCGACCCCGAGGACCGTTAGCGAGGCCCTGAGGGCTGAGGCTGACGAGAGCCGGAAGCAGCTCTGCAGGACGCGTGGGGGGTGGGAACGATGAGGGGAGGGGCCGCCCGGAGCTCCCGTCTGGGCACATCCGGCCGCTCTAGGCTTACCGGAGGCCTCGCCCTCTCACTGGCCTGCGCCGAGGGGGAGGGACTTTCCAGGAAGCCCCGCCCCTTCCGAGCCCGGCCTCAGGTCAGGTCCTCCAGGAGATGCTCTCCCGAGGGATCCTAGAAACAGCTGTTGCTTAGATGGAGCCTGCGGGTCCACACAGCCAGGATAATGACTCCCATTGCTATAGCGCTTCAAAATTGGCCAAATCCAGCGAGGTATTGCAAGTGCTAGTATCCTCATTTTTGCAGATGTGGAAACTGAGACTCAGGGAGATTAAGTAATTTGCCCAAAGTCCCCCAACTACAATTCCCAACTTCCTCTGACTCGAAGTGCAGAATTCTCAACAGTAAGTTGCTTAGATGGTGTAATGGCACAAAGTAGACATTTAATAAATGCTTATTGATTGAAAGGTTATTCTGAAGAAGACAAGTTACATTTGTTTTGCTTGGCCCAGGAAAGCAAACCCAGAAGCACAGGATAGAAGTTATGGGAATGTAGATTTTCTTCACGTTGATTTAAAAAAAAAATTCCTAACAACTCTATGCAAAAGTGGAATGGGCTACCTTGTCAGTTAAGGAGGTCCTCACCTGCTGTTATTCAAGTGGAGGCAGAATGGGCATGTCAGGGACAATATAGAGGGGATTCTTCTTTTGGTATACATTGGACTAGATGTTCTCTGTGGTCCTAACTCTGAAGTATTATGATTCTGTAACCATGGATGTAACAGGTCAATGATTTTATGTGCTACCCATCTTAGAAAAACTTAGCCATGGGGATATGATCAGGAGTTGAGAATTCCTGCCAAGCCAGGATCAAAGAGATGAGCATCAGCACAGGATTCAGGAAGGACAACTCACTTGGGACCCAGCAGTCATCAGAGGAGCTTCAGTGTGTCACAGACACAGCCCTTCCACTTTTCCTTTTCTGTTATTAAATTATTACCAACCACAGTTTCTTGAATGTATTTATATTCTTCCCAGTAAGATGTTTCTTGAGGACAGTCTATTTTGTTTATATCTCTCTATTCTGAGGCTTTCTACATATGTATATGCATATATATATGTGTGTATACACATACATATATATATAACACACATATTGACATGTGAATATGTGTGTGTATGTATATATATACACATATACATGTATATATATATATATATATATATATATATTTGTATGTATGTATATATGTATTGCTTCAGACCAATCACATCAGTGTAGGGAATTCCTAGTATGGAAACTTTCTCCATACATACAAGCAACTCTTTCATAACATAATATGAGTTACTTTGGGCAAGAAGTCAAATCAGTTGTCTGTGGTCACATAGCCAGTATAGGTCAGAGGCAGGACTTGAATTTAGGCCTTTCTTGCTCCAAAGTCAGGCTTCCATCCACTACACCAAATACCTTTCATCTTAAACCTATTAGGCATTTAATAAATGTTTAACTGCATTGCGTTTTATTGAACTGTTGCATTAAGGTGGCATGGAGCTGGGCCCTAAAGAACAGATAAGCTAGGAGGTAAAGCATGGATGGGGAGAGATTTCCCTCAGCAACTTTCTCAGGTCTCTCAGATTGACCTCTCCTATGCATTTTTCTCATTCCAACTTGTATTGACATTAGTGTACATAAGTGTTTCAGCCCCCTGTATATCATAATAAATTCCTTAGAGACAATCTTTTCTCCCCTTCTTCGTGAGTTCTGCATGGAGCCCAGGGCTCTGTACAGTAAGACAATGAATATCTGTTGAATTAAATTTGTTTGTGGACTAATGGCCTCCCAGGAGAAGGAGTTAAGTTCCTAGATCTTTGTGAAGGTACACCAGTGGTAGCAGGGAAGCTGTGCCTCAGGCCCTTCCCTTTCTGTTGTAAGGGGTTCGGTTTTCACAAGCAGCAGAACATACTCACTCCTCCACCCCTGGCCTAAAGAAGCTTGAAGCTTGAAGGAGCTAGAGCAGGGAAGGTGGAGGGAGATCCTCCAAATCCTTTTCTAGGGATCTCTGTCTGGTCCTATGCTGTATATTTTCATCCATTACTGGGATGAAGGCATAGACAGCATGTTCAACAAATTTGCAGATGTCTCAAAAATGGAAGAATAGCTAATACATTGGACTGATAGAATCAGGATCTACAAAGATCCTGACAGGTCAGCATATTGGAATGAATCTACTAAGACAAAATCCAGTAGGGATAAATAGAAAGCCTTACACTTGGGTTAAAAAAAAAATTAACTTCTGAGGCAGTTAGGTGATGCAGTGGATAGAGCTCCAGCCTTGGAGTCAGAAGGACCTGAGTTCAAATATGGCCTCAGTCACTTGACACTTAACTAGCTGTGTGACCCTGGGGAAGTCACTTAACCCCAATTGCCTCACCAAAAAAGTAAAAAAAAAAATGCACTTCAGAAGTATAGGTTAAGGAAAATATGGTTATATAGCAGTTTATCTATAAAAGATAGGGAGATTTTAGTGGAGTGAAGCTCACTAAGTCAGTCTTGTGATATGGCTGCCAAAAAAGTTAATGAGACTTGGGGCTTCTTAGAACCAAGGAGATGAGAGTACCTCTGTACTCTGCCCTGGTCAGACAGCATTGAGTCCTGGGCATCATAGTTTGAGAAGAACATGGATGAGCTAGAGAGAGGATCCAGAGGAAGGCAACCAGGATGGTGAAGTTCCTTGAGTATATCACATGAGAATCATAAACTCGTGAGGGCAGGCCTATTTCGTCTTTGTCACCCCAGATGTAGCACAGTGCCTGGCACCTGCTTATTTAATAAATGATTGCTGACTGAAGGAATTGGGAATGTTCTATTTCTCCCTATTCAATCATCTATCCCACTCACAACTTTACTAAACCTTCTCTTCTCTTCTCAAGCTACCACAGTACCCTTCCTTCCACCTTTTCAGCTGTGGACCTCTCAAACATCAATGAAAAAACTGAGGTCATTCATCATCTCCACACCTTCTCCAGGCCTTTTCCAGTCCCCCCCACCCCAGATACTAAAAGTGCCTTCCCCTTTAAAGTCACCTTATATCCATTCCATATCTATCTTGTATATCCTTATTTATGTACAGGTCCTCTTCCCAATTAAGATATAAGCTTCTTGAGGGAAGAGACTGGTTTTGCTTTGTATTTGCCTAGTGCAGGAATGGAGAACCTGCAGCCTCAAGGCCACAAGTGGCCTTCTAGGTCCTTGGGTGCAACCTTTTGACTGAGTCCAAGTTTTACAGAACAAATCCTCTTATTATGAAGATACGGTGAAAATAAAGAGCGGAGAGGGGAAGACCAATAAGGAGACCACTGCAATAGTCCTGGTGAGAGGTGATATCTGAATGTGGGAAGTACCTGTGAAGTAAAGAGATGGGGAATAAATTTAAGAGATGTTGTAAACTTGATGATTGGATATATGAGATGAGGCAGAGTGAGGATGTAAGGTTGACTGTGAGGCTGTGAATCAGTTAAGAAGGATGGTGGTACCTTTGAAAGAAACAGGAAAGCTCAGAAGAGGGGCACTAGAATCTTTGGTTCATAGATTTAGAGCTATTTAAGTTAGGATTTGAACACAGGTCTTCCTGACTTTAAACTCAGCAGTCTGTCCAGTATACTATGCTGCCTCTCAATGTTGGGTTTGAGATGTTTATGGGATATCAGATTCAAAATGTCCAATAGGCAACTGGTGACATTAGATGGGAGTTCAGGAGAGGCTGTGGTTGGATATTCATACATACATACATATATACATACATACATGTGTGTGTGTGTGTGTGATTCACCTACATAGAGATAAATAAACTCATAGGAAATATGATCACCAAGGGTGAGTTTAGAAAAAAAGGGCCCAGGACAGAGCTCTGATTGTTGGAGAGATGGTAGGCATTCATCTCAGTGCAGGCAAAAAATGTTAAAAAAAAACCAGGATAAAAGTAATAAGGTCTATGTCTGGGAGATTACAAGACTATTCAAACTTGCTTAGCACAGGGTATAATTCTATTATATTTTACATTATAACTATCACATGCTTATTGTAAGAGGGTAGCTCCAAGAAAGAAGTTTTGAGACCATTTGTATTAAATAAAATTATAGTAATGATCCTATCTCCCTTGGTGCCTAGTAGTGTTTTGTACATCATAGGTACAAAATAAATGACTGCTGAATTAAGAGTTAGAGCAAAAGAGACAGACGAGGATTGAAATGTGTCAAATAAGAAGTAGAGGGCATAAGGCCTTATATGTTTAAGATTAAAAAGAATATTTGTCATGTAAATTCTTTCTTCATATCTGATGTTCTAAACAGATGAAGGTCCTTCCCACGAGAAGCTTAGAGGATTTAATCACATTTTGTTACAGTATAGACTTTGACATTTAACAAAGCTATAAACATTACACATATGGATTTCATGTCACTGTTTTTAGATATAGGAGGGATAACTAAAACTGAGTGTCTGAGCTAGGATTCAAAAAGGTTTCTGGCTATAACGTGGGACCAATTCTAAGGAGATGAAATTTAATATAAATAAATGTAAAGTCCTACATTTGGTTATCAGATATATAAATACAAAATTAAAAGAGATAGTTAGATAGACAATAACTCACATGAAAAATATCTAGTGGTTTTGGTGGACTGCAAACTCAGTATGAGTCAACAAAGTGATATGAAGCCCAAAAATATCTAACATATCTAACAAAAACACTAACATGATATTGGACTGAATTAATTTGTATTAATTAATTAATGCATGACCTCATCTGGACTATGGTATTCATTTCTAGGTACCATATTTTTGGAAGAACACTGAAAACCTGAACTGATTTAGAGGAGGGCAAACAGGACAGTGGGAAAAATAGAGACAATTTCAATTCAGTTGAAGAATGTTTAGTGTGGACCAGTGGTTCTAAAACTTTTTGGCACCAGTACCACTCTTAAATGATTAGGACCCCTCCTGCCACCCACAACAAAGAGCTTTATTTATATAGATTATATCTATTGACATTTACCATATTAAAAATTAAAAACATTTTATTATTATTATGAAAATAGTTGTGACCTTGAGAAACCTCTAAAAAGAGGTCCTGGACCACACTTTGAGAACCACTGGTCTGGGGAAAATAAAAACTTTGGGGAAGGCATGATAGCAGACCTTAAGTATCACAAAGAACTAAAATAAGGAAAAGGGACCAAATTTAGTTGTCACCAGAGCAGAACTAGGAGCAATGGCTTAAAGTTGCAAACAGGCAGATTTCGCCATGATGTAAAGAAAATTTTTTTAACAAAATATTGTCTAAAAGGGTAATAATCTGCCTCAGGAGGTAGGAGATTCCCTGTCATTGGAGGTCTTCAAGCTGAGACTGGATAACCAATTTGACAGAGGGATAGTGTAGGAAGATTCCTTTTCATTTACAGGTTGAGACAAGATGACTTCTGAGATCTGCCACCTCTGAAAAGCTGTGAGATCTCAAAGTGAGATATTGCTAAAGCCATTCTAACATTCTCATTTTTTTTTGTTAGTATAACTAATCTGATATAAATTAAATGAAGGGTGCTACAAATGCAAGCTTATTGGCATGCATTACATTTATAGAGTTTTTCTTGAATATTGGTTTTCTAATGTAGTGTAAGGTGTGAATTCCAATCTGAGGCTTTCCTTTACTTATCACATTCATTCACTTTCTTTCCAGGCAACTTTATATGGCTTAAAGTATCACAAAGTTTTCATATTAATTACTTTGGTTGGATTTCTCATCAATGTGAGTTCTTTGATGTAGAATAAGGTAAGAACTCCTACTAAAAGTTTTCCCACATTGATTACATTTAAAAAGTTTCACTCCAGTATGAATTATCTGATGCTGAACAAGAGTTGAACTCTGACTGAAAGCTTTCCCACATTCATGGCATTCATAAGGTTTCTCACCAGTATGAACTCTCTGGTGCCTGATAAGAAGTGAGCTTTGAGTAAAGGCTTTCCCACATTCAGTACATTTGTGGGGTTTCTCTCCAGTATGAATTCTCTGGTGTAGTCTAAGTTGTGAGCTCTGACAAAAAGCCTTTCCACATTCACTACATTTATGAGGCTTTTCTCCAGTATGAATTCTCTGATGTAGAGTAAGTTGTGAACTTTGACTAAAGGCCTTCCCACATTCATCACACCCATAAGGTTTTTCTCCAGTATGAATTCTTTGATGTTGAATAAGTTGTGAGCTCTGACCAAAGGCTTTGCCACATTCATCACATCCATAGGGCTTTTCTCCAGTGTGAATTCTTTGATGCTGAATAAGTTGTGAACTCTGAATGAAGCCTTTACTACACTCATTACATTTATAGGGTTTCTCTCCAGTATGAGTTCTCTGGTGTAAGATAAGGCCTGAGCTGCAACTGAAAGCTTTTGAACATTTATTACATTTATATGGTTTCTCTCCAGTGTGTATTAACTGATGTTGAATAAGACGTGAACTCCAGCTGAAGGCTTTCCCACACTCATTACATTTGTATGGTTTTACTCCAGTATGAACTATCTGATGCTGATCAAGAGTTGAACTTTGACTGAATGACTTCCCACATTCCTTACATTTGTAGGGTCTTTCTCCAGTGTGAATTCTCTGGTGTAGAATAAGGTGTGAGTTCTGAATAAAGGTTTCTCCACATTCATTACACTTGTAAGGTCTCTCTCCAGTGTGAATTCTTTGATGTCTAATAAGTAGTGATCTTTGATTGAAAGTTTTTCCACATTCATTACATTCATGAGGCCTCTCTCCTGTATGAATTCTCTGATGTAACACAAGCTGAGAGTTCTGACCAAAGGCTTTTCCACATTTATCACATCTATAAGGTTTCTCTCCAGTATGGATTCTTTGATGTTGAATAAGGTGTGATCTCTGACTAAATGTCTTCTGACATTCATTACATTCAAATGGCTTATCTCCAGTATGAGTTTTCTGATGTCTATTAAGTTGTGAGTTGAGACTGAAAGCTTTACCACATTCATCACATCTATAAGGTTTTTCTCCAGTGTGAATTAACTGATGTTGAATAAGCCGGGAGCTACAAATGAAAGCTTTTGAACATTTATTACACTTATATGGTTTTTCTCCAGTATGAATTTTTTGATGTTCTCTCAAGTTTGAGCTTCTACTGAAAATTTTTCCACATTCATTACATTTGTGTGATTTCTCTCCAGTGTGAATTCTCTGGTGTAGAACAAGGTCTGAATTCTGCTCAAAGTTTTTACCACAATTATCACATTCATGGACTTTTTCTTTTGTTATTCCTTTATGATGGGCTATGAGTGTTGATTCTGCCCCAAATTCATTACATTTTTTGGTGATATCCTCTATAGTGGTTTTCTTGTGAGTCATCATGGCTTTATTGAACTCTTTTTCCAGGGAAGAGCATTTCCTAAAAATCACTGCTATAGAGTTTTTCTGATAAATGTTTAAGCTCCTTTCACGTTTAAAATATTCTTCAAACTCATGTTCTTCAGGGAAATCCTTTAGGATTATTTCCAGTGTTTCTCCATTTGACAGGACTCTTTTGAAATTTTCCCCTTTTTCATATAACTGCTCATTCTCAGTTCTTTCCAAATCTGAAACAAGAAATTGAAAATATAATGTTCTCTATGCTGAGGAAAAAAAATTATTAGACTGCTTATTCTCAGAACTAATATAAAATCTAGAAAGAAAGCAAAAGGTTGGAACTAGGAAGCAGGAGAAATTGATTAGAAATATAATCTAGATAAGGGGCCTAGTAAACACAAAGTGAACCAGTTGAGGAGGGTAGAACATTATTAGGCAGGGGAGTTGGGAAGAAATTTTGAGGTATAAGCAGAGTGTATGGGAGACAAGATAAGTTTTCAGTCAAGTATGATTAGTGGTGAGATGGCCTAAATAGGTAGATGAGAATATTTGATGGGGGAATAGTTAGAATTGTACAGAAATAGGAAAGAATGCTTCATAGGGTAATGAGTTCCTAGTCACCGGAGGAATTAGCAAAGAAAGCAATGAAATTGGTGCTAAAAAAGAAGAAAGAGGAGGAGAGGCAGCATAGCAAAACAAAAACATATTGGATTTGGCATAACAGAACCTATGTTTAAATCCTGGCTCTAATACTTACAAGCTGTGTAACATCAGACAAGTCCCTTTACTGCCGTAATAACCATGTCCTCACCTATAAAATGAAAGGGTTGGACAAAATGACTTCTCGGGCCCCTTCATATAAATACTTTAAACCTATCAAAGTAAGGTAAGTAAGTTGTGACATAGAAGCTGCATTTCTAGGGAAGGAACCTTTTCGTGGAAATGTCACAAGGTCAGCCAGTGGGAAAGATGGTCACAGATGATGATATCTCATTCTTTCTGTCTTTGAATAGGAAAGCTATTCTCTCAGGAAAAAGTCTACATCTGCAAGAATTTAATTTATGGCATCCTACCTATTTTCCTCTGAACTCTTAGAGTTCTGCCTTCCCAAAATCTAGGCCTACTTTGCTTTCTCTTGAGAGAAAATAATAAACTCTAGAACAGAACAGTCATTTCCCTCCAACCAGTTCCTCTTTGTTAGTGAGAATCAGCTCCCATTTAGAATTTCCCTTTGTTGACTCCTCCACCTTGTAAAGAATGTTATCATTAAGGCACATCATTAAGTCGTTAGCTGTTCTGCTGTGGGTAGAAAGAGAGCTCAAGCAGATGTCTAAATAACCGAAGTCTTCTCATACCTCTCACTCCTCTTCTTACCCTGAACAAGATCATTCGCCTGTGATCACCTTCCTAGAAATCACACAGCAATCTAGCTGTTCACTCTTGAACTAATCCCTGGTCACATCCTGTTGTGGCTCTGTCTATACAGTAGTCTAGACAAGGTGTCTCACTATCACCTCCAACCAAAAATAAAGACAAAGCCACAGCTCTGCCAGAGGATGGCCACCCTTAGCTAACTTTCCCATTTGGATGAGCAAAGGTATTGTTGCCTCCATCCCTGCCTACTGGAAATGGTTCCCAAAATGTTTCCTTTCTGAAATCCTCAACACTTTCATTGCCCACCTCTTTCCCTTCAGCCTCCTACCACTGCCAGTCATGAACTTGTCATCTCTAATCTGGATTACAAACAACAACACAGATTTATAGAGCAGTTCAAGGTTTACAAAAATCTCCACAACAACCTGATAAGGTAGGTAGTGTACACTTTATCATCCAGTTTTCCCCCCATAAGTAAAGTAACTAAAGCTAAGAGTAATTAATTATAGGGTTTCCCCACAGTCATGTAGCTATTATGTATCTAAACCAAAATTCAAATCTAGGTTTTCTTTATTCCAAGTCAAGTAGTCTTTTCACTATATCATGCTGCTGTTCATCTAATACCCAGGAGGACCCAGACTTCTCCACTTGTCACTGACACTTCCAAAGTTCCTAGAAATATTTTGTAGATACAAGGCAGTTAATAAATGTTGAACTGAAAGTCAGGTCTTTCTGCATATGACTATGGACAGGCCACCTGAGGCAATGTTGATGCTGTCTTACCAAGTCCCTCTTCTTCAAGGACTTCCCTAGGGAGCACAAGAATGCCCTCAATTTTCTTGTTCTCTCTGCTTTTTCTCAAAGCAAGTTTTTTTGATTTATTTATCCATTATCTTGAGGCATTTTCCACTGCAATACTTGATATAGATAGTCAGTGAACAAGCACTTATTAAGTGGTTACCATGTGCCAGGCACTGTGCTAAGCACTGGGGAGACAAAGAAAGGTTTTTTTAAAAAAAGGAAAGAAAAGAAAAATAATAAGGGAAAGAAACCTTGTTACTACTCTCAAAGACCTCACATTTTCATGGAAGGGACAATATGAAAACAATTATGTACATACACTATAATTAGAGAGTAGAAATGAGAATATTTAGGAAATCTGAATAACTATGGTTATAAGGATGATTAGGATTTCCACTAACTAGTTTCTCTCCCTCACCTGTGCAGGAACCTCCCTGGGATTCATCTGTTTCCTTAGCTTCCTGCAGATCCAACATCCATGGCTCTTCTCACTCCAGTTAGAAGATCACATCAAGCTTAGAGGCTGGAAGTCCTACTTGTATGAAAGGACATAGAATACACTCGTTTGTGCTAGGAATGGAAGCTAAAGCAAGCTACAGAAAACAGGTGGAAAGGGAGCAAAAATGCCAAGAGCAGAGACCTCAGAACACTCCACTCAAAGTAGGAGTCCCTTGAAAAGATGAGAATTGAAGCACATAAGGACAAGAATATCACTGAGTAGTGAAAACAGCATTGTCTTGAAGTCAGAAGACCTAGATTCAAGTCCTTCCTTCTATTATCTTGAGCAAGTCATTACCCTCCAGCCTGAGTTTCCTAATTCATAAAATGGAGATAATACTTGACCTCCCTCAAAAGGTTCTCATGAGAAAAACCATCTGTCAAAAGTAGTATACCAAAGAAACCAGAGCTATTATTATTCCTGGAAGGATAAGAAACTTCTATCCCCATAGGAAGTAAAATGGATAATTTTAATTATATGAAATTAAAAAGGTTTTGCACTAACAAAAACCAATGCAGCCAAAATGAGAAGTAAAACAGGAAACTGGGGGGAAATTTTTATAGCAAATTTCTCTGATAATGGCTTCATTTCTCAAATGCATAGGGAACTGAGCCAAATTTATAAAAATAAGAGTGGGGAATGCTTCACTGATAAATGGTCAAAGGATATGAACAGGCAGTTTTCAAAAGAAGAAATCAAAGTCAATAGTTATATGAAAAAATACTTTAAATTACTATTGATTAGAGAAAAGCAAATTAAAACTCTTAGGTATCACCTCTTATCTATCAGATGTGACTCACATGACAGAAAAGGAAAATGATAAATGCTAGAGGGACATAGAAAAATAGAGACACTAACGTAGAGTTGTAAACTGGACAACCATTCTACAGAACAATTTGGAACTATGCTGAAAGAGCTATAAAATTGCACATACCCTTTGACTCAGCAATACCACTACTAGTTCTGTAAGGAAAATGAAAAAAGATCTATATATACAAAAATATTTATAGCTGCTCTTTGTATGATGGCAAAGAATTGGAAATTGAGGAGATGCTCATCAGTTAGGGTATGACTGAACCAGATGTGGCATATAATTTTGATGGAGTACTATTGTGCTATAAGAAATGATGAGAAGGATGGTTTCAGAAAAACCTGGGAAGACTTACATGCAAGACTGATGCAAAGTAAAGTGAGCATAACCAGGAGTACATTGCACACAGTAACTGCAATATTGTAACAATGATCAACTGTGAAAGACTGAGCTACTCTAATCAATACAATTATCTAAAACAATTCCAAAGGACTCATGAAGAAAAATACTATCTACATCCAGAAAGAGAGCTAATGAATGCAGTCTGAAGCATATTTTTTCACTTTATTTTTCTTGCCTCTTTCTGGCAACATGGCTAATATGGTCATTGCAGAGTAAGGAAAAAAATCATAGGATTTAGAGCTGGGAATGACCTTAGAGATCCATACAATCCACTCCTTCATTTTACAAATGACAAAATGAAGAGTAAGAAACTGGAACTCCTGCTGATGGGGAAGGAAATAGGATATACTGACTTGTGCTGGGAACCTATGATGCGATAGGAGGGGAAAGGACAAAAGAGATGCACTGCCCACGTTTACAATGGGAAAAGATGGCACAGCTGATGTTTAAACTCAGGTCTTCTGACTCCACATGTAGCACTCTTCGGGGGAACAATTTTAGGACCTCAAGAAGGGCAACTCACCTGGGACCTGGCCATCAATGGGAGCAAAGATGCCCTCATCTGCTCTTTTAGGTTCCCTTAGCGGGAAGGGCAGAAAGAAGAAATATAAGTGAGAGCAGCTTTGGTCTGAAATACTACCATTCATTTCTCACATGACTCTCCTCAACAGAAGACATGGGCCTCTATACAGAGTTTCTCCTTTAATGACTGACTAACTCTTCTTATCATTATGTCACCAAAAGTCACCTGTGCAAACAGAGGCAATACAGAGGGTTATATATGAAGAAGTTATAGTCCCAAGTAGAAGAAAAGAAGGAAGGAAAAAGGGGAGGAGGAAAGGAAGGAAAAAGGGAAGAAAGGAAGGAATGAGAGAAGGAAGGAAAGAAGAAAGGAATAAAGGAAGGAAGAACAGAAGGAATGAGGGAAGGAATGAAGGGCAGGAAGGATGGAGTTATTAAGCATCTATTATGTGCCAAATCCTCTACAGATATTATCTCATTCAATCCTCACAACCACCCCAAGACGTAGGTTCTACTGTTATCCCCATTTTACTATTGGGAAAGCTGAGGCAAGCAGAGGTTAAGTAAAAAGTTCCTGGTGCTGAAGATTAGTAAATAGATAAAGGTAATGACATTGACTTTGATTATCATCATTTCTGGCAGAAGGTGATAACAAAAGCCCAGAAACTGGCTCATCCAGGAAACACTGGATTTCCTTGCCAAAAACTGTGGCCAAGGGCAATGTTAATTTAAAGTATAAACTCATTTACAAAATTATGGGCTAGGATGGTAGAAGCAGAGTGGATAGAGTCCTGGATCTAACGTGAAGAATAAAGTTTGAATCCTTCCTCAAACATTTATCAGCAATGTGACCCTGGGCAATTCACTTAAACAACTACTACCTGCCTCAGTTTCTTCATCTGTAAAACTGGGATAATAGAACTTATATCTGATGGTTGATCTGAGGATAAAATAAGATACTATATGTAAAGTGCTTTATAGACCCCAAAGTGAAATAGGTTAGCTGTTATTATTTATTAAGATTGCAAATAATATCACACTGCGAAACAGCAAAAAGCACTAAAGGAGAAAACAAATCTGCCAAAAAATTATCCCAAGAGAATTTACAGATGAAGACTGAAGAAGGACAACAGACAAAAACCAGAATAGATATGCCAGCAGTCCTACAGCAGTATAGTCTCACTATCAATAACATTATCAACTGCCACAGGGATTCTAGTATCTCTGAAATGGGGATAATGGTAGGCCCTATAGGTTTCAAAGGTGTATTGTGAGGAAAAACTGAAATAATGTATATGTCAACAGGCAATCACGTCACAAAACATATGTGAAAACCAGGCTTATTACAAGAGAAATGAACACGCATGTGGAACCCAAAGAGTTCATAGTCCTTACAGAAGTTTGCAAATTTATGACAATACAACAAAAGGAGGAGAAAATGGAAAGGCATCAGAGGGGAAAGGTTCCATAACCTCTCAGGAAGGGGAGGGACAAGGCAATGGCAAAAGCCATCCTTTTTTCCCTCAGGAACCCCTAGACCATGAAGATAGAGCTTATCTGCAAAAGACTCCTGCTGCACAAGCATTTTTCCCAGGCTGGCACAGACTGGCTGTCACCTGTCTTGCTTCCCAGGGACACACAGGGAATCCAGCTTGAGGTGCAAACAACAAATTATGTCAGCTGGAGTGGGAGGAGGGTTGGTCTTTGACACATTCAGGGCTTCTTGCATGCTCTGGGTCTAGTGTTTCTGGAAAATATGGCAATTCAAAAAGACAAGTTCAGGGAACTCTTTAACAGTTCTTAACATCTGCAAAGCTCTTTGAAAACTTTAAAGCACTTTATAAATGCTAGCTAGCTATTATATATTTGACACGTAAATTGTTATTTACATGTTGTCTCCTTCATTCAAATTTAAACTCCTGGAGGGCAGCGACTGATTTTGCTTTTCTTTCTTTCTTTCTTTCTTTTTTTTTTGTATTTTGATAGGCTATGGGGTTAAGTGACTTGCCCAGGGTCACACAACTAGTGAGTGTTACGTGTCTGAGGCCAGATTTGAACTCAGGTCCTCCTGACTCCAGGCCAGTGCTCTATTCACAGTGCCACCTAGCTGCCCCTGTTTTTGCTTTTCCTTGTATCCTCAGAATTTAAGACAATGTCTGGCACTGACTGAAGGTGATCTGATTACAAGTCCACTTCTTACCTTCCACCTTACTGAATTCTACCTATTATGGCATTAGATAAGTAGTACTGAACTACTTAAAATATTGCTTCAGCATATTTCAACCCCATTTCTTCTGCTAAAAGTTTTTAATATTTTAGTTCACATTTAGTGTGGGCCTATGCCACCCATGCCAAATGTATTTTCTAATTGAGAAAAAGCTTCCATTTTATCTAATAAATATGGGCATAAAATAATATTTTGTAGCTACTGTATTACTGATAATGATATGTTAATATTATTAGTAAATGGACACTTGAAATAGAGTGTCAATGACATTCGAAAGATTATGGGAAAAGGGAAGACTATACAATTCGACAAATGTCTCAGCTTCCAAAACTAGAAAGAAAATGGAGTCTACAAAGTACAGTTCAGCAATTTTGATTTTAATTCCTAGGAACAATTTAGAATGAATTATTAAAGAGATAGCTAAATATTAACAAAGTATCTCTTTAATAATAGGTTATTAAAGAGACATCTTGAAAAGGAAGCAGCAATTAAAAAAAAACCACCATGGCTTCATCAAGAACATCCTTTTGCTCAGGGTTAGTAACCCAGTACATCAGATGAATTCTATAGCTATAATTTGCCTAGCGTGCAATAAGACATCTGATATTCTTAATCATTAAACCATTTTTATCTTTAAATTATTAAAATATCTCCTTTCATAAAGTATCTCTAAAAGAGAAAATTTAAGTTTCTCTCAAAGAAAAGGTGAAAAGATACAGCCTAGACAGTAATACAATTAGACTGATTCAAAACTAATTAAATAGCCATATTCAGAATTCTTATTAATGGTTCCATTATCACTTTGGCAAGAGGTCTCCAAAAGGATCTGTGCATGGGTGTGTTGTTTAACATTTTTATTAATAACCTGGAATGAGGCAAAGAAGGCATATTCATCATATTTGTAGGTGACACAGATCTGGAAGGTATAAATAGCACACACTGGATGAGGATCCAAAAAGATCTTGATAGGCTAGAGCAAAGGAAGGGCCGCACTTGAGGATCTAGAGGGCCACATGTGGCCTCAATGCGACAGGTTCCCCACCCCTGGGCTACAGCATTAGGCTAACTTTA